CATCATAAATGATGAGCTAGTATCAGAATGTTTAGGTTACATCTGCTACATTTTTTTCTGGAGGACCCAGAATCAGCACTGAGGATACAGATACCCCACACTAAGCATCTCTTTACTCAAGTCTCAAGGAAAGAAATGTTGGGTAACTTCTAGCTCACATCAGGGGTGTGCTTTGTCTCCATCTTTCAGTAGCAGCTGAAGGAAGAGCAGAGTAAAAGCGATACAACCTTTTGATTGGCCATGAGATCAGATTTACTATTTAGTGCACAAAGGGAAGTCAATGACTACAGTAGCCATAAACAAAGCACAACAAAGCCAGAGATGCATTAGTGACTCACATTACAAAAATAGCGTTTACTGGTTTAATAAATTTACATCTCTCTTTTTGTGAATGACAAGTGTTTGTACCACACATGAAGGCACCCTAGGTGAAGCAGTTTTCTCGGTATTTCTTTACAATTCTGTGAAAAGACATACAAAGTGTCAATTTTCAAATCAAAATTAAGCATTATTATGAGAAATAAATACATACTTTACTATTTTATTGTGGGTTCCTGAACCCTCACAAACTTCAACATATACAAATAGTTTCAAAATGACACTAACACCTAAGAGAGTAAGTCTAGACAGATATTATAATGATTAGCTAAGTCATTCGTTATAGGATGTCATAAATGTTGTGTCTTAAGTATAGAAATCATTTTAAAATGCAATAAATTGGCCACAATATATAAATCAGAATATTTTATTACTCCAGAACCATGATGCATGAGTTAAAGCTGGATGAACTGTAGTGCTAAGATACACTCTCCCTCCACAATACCCAACAAGTAGAAACTGGTAAACATTCAAGATTAAAGTATAAACAGTAGAAAAATGAAGGTAGCAACTGTAATAAAAGAGTGCTAGCCAGATTCACTTTAACCTGTAGACATCAGGATAAATGTAACATTACCACAAGTATTTAGACAATAGTACTTTGGGGATTAAACAGTTACCAGAAGTGATAAATCAGCCTAGTTAAGAAAGGGTATTTTCTTTCAAACATATGAAGGTTTTAATTAATTGTCAATCGAGACATTTGTCCAAAGCAAAACAAATACAATACCCTGAAATCTCACCTATTCTAGACAACAGTCTGTGACAGTCAGAAGAGGCAGATGGTCATACTTCATTCTGTTACTCACATCCAGATGTTATTAAAATAACTGTAGGGACCAGCCCCAATCAAAAGAGTAAGAAAAAACCCAGATACACTGTTAATGCAACCTGGCTATTGCTTTTTTAAATGCTTCTAAGTCCTCATTCTGAATTCATGAAGATAGTTTCCATACCCTTCCATATATGCTAACTGGCTTCTTAAAATTTTACCCATGAAGTCCATGGTATACAGATAAAACCTTCATAGTAAACACAAAGCTCTATGTTATAAATATGTCAATCAAGGTAACTATGTATATTGTATATAAAATTAAATATTTTCTGTTTGCCAAGTATAATTTAAAAAGGAATATCTGTGGCTAGTTATAAAAAAATATTTACTAACCCATAGAGATTAAAAGGCAATTTCACTAACTCGTCCATCCAGGACATCTGAAAGAGCTGCACCGGGATTCTGGATAGGTAACTTCATCTAATCACATTCTCATGATAAATAGACAACTTTCATTTCTGGGCATATATAAGAACACTTTTGAAAGCTACATATCCCAAAAGAAAATAAAGATTGTGTTGTATAATCTAAATTAAAGGCTATCATAAATCACAGTGTAAGCAGATTTTTTTTTAAAGATTATTTTTAGAATGTTTAAGTTACAGACAGATTTTAAAAGACTATGCAAAAATAAGACCAAAACAACAAAGGAACCCTTTGAGGCTGGACAACACCGCACTCTGCCAAACAGATCTATCCAGGTGGCCAAGTGGCTAACAGGGAAAACATGCCACGAAAGACTCTAAATGTCATTCAGAGAGTTCCTGAATATTTGTATAAATTCATCTTTAATCAACTCCCACTGTTAAAACAGAAAGAGGAATATGGCGTTAATTTGAACAAAGCATTTTCAAGCATTCTGTTGTACCTATTTCAGTTTTGTTTTTAAATTCTTTTGTTGCATTTAACATTCATACACACAAGATCTCCACCCGCACAGGCAATCTGAGCTTTGCTGGCCCTCCAAACCACCCATTATTTTATGCTCTAAACAGCAAGAACTACATACCCAGTTTTCAGAAAATGCTGTTTGATGGCTCTACTCACTTCAGTGGGACTGAGCAGAAAATAATCTGAAACTATCCTTTCTTCTAGACACAGAGAGCCTGTCTGGTGCAGTACCTATGTCCTGCACATCTCTGTGAACCAACTACCACACTTCAGCTTAGCAGAAGTTATTTGATAATCACACTGATTTGTCAATATACCTCAGCTTTAAGATCCACCATTAGCAACACTGGTGTAGAATCTCTCCAACTGTATTACACAGCCAGACTTAAGTACTTTTACTACTGATTGAGTGTCTCTACAAAGTGCAGAAGCAATCTCTCCTTCTGCAGTTGGGGATTATTTATGTTCACATATAATTATGAAAGCACTTACTAACAATAAAGCTTGCGTTTCTCTCCTCACCTTTTTATCACATCTCAAAATTTATGAGATTGTGCCTGCCTTTCTAGTTATCTGAAATACCTGCAGATGCTTGAATCCAGAGCTTTCAGCATAAACCCTGTTCTTTGTGCTCTGATTTACATGTACATGTTTCAATTTACATGCTGTGTAGTATCTCATCTGAGTAGGAGAGCATATGTTATTTTCTACACTACTTGAATTGTTGTGGGTTTTTTGTTTGGGTTTTTTGTTTGTTTGTTTTGTTTTGGGGTTGTTTGTTTTGTTTTTTTTTTTTTCTTTTTTTTATTATTATGCCCCAAAACCATTATTCTTACTTATGTCAGTTTGGTTCCCTCCCCCCCAACAAAAAGAGCAAGTAGGAATGTTTACAAAGTTGTCATGAGACAAGAAAATGATACAGAACAACGACTAAGAAGAAGGGGGGGGGGGGAAGAATCATATTAATAAAATCACATATTAGGTAAGCATTTGCTGTACCTGCACATCCCCAAAATGTAAAAAAGGTGACAATTAGTAGGTTTGTTTAGGGACCTTGAAGTTAATGGAAAACTAGTGGTTAATTCACTCGTAACAGTCCACATGCAGCTTGTAGCAGGTCAAATCTCCTGCTGTGTTCCACAGCACCTTAAGAAGCAGTAAGTCTGATGCATCAGAAAAAGGTGATCATCATATTGTACAAAATAATTCACAGGGAAGGCAAGTTAAAATAAGGTTTCTCTGAGGAAGACTGAAAAAATGTCCCCAGTTTTCCCCTCTTCTTTCTAGAATCAACAATGAAACAATTCTAGATCATGAGATGCACATATGCTGAAGCCTATGAAGAAGCACCCCACGTTACTGATTTAAGTGCACATGTAAGAGATGTAAGCAAAAGATGAGAAACTGCTTCCAAGGCACAGCTCATTGCTCATGCTGTGCTTCTGAACACAAAAACTATGATGAAAAGCACAGAGTGAAACATAGGCATCAAATCTCTGGAGTCTGTACCTTGTCTTTCAGAGAAGGCAGAGGTAGATGATCTCTCATCCTCTAAACATGAGGCTCACACAGAAAAGCTCACACAGAAGCACATGCCATATGCCAGCTAGCTTCCAAAGTCCCAGGGGAAAGAATAACATTTCCCCCAACACATCCATCCCAAACATCATAAGCTATCATAAAACAGTACTATAGGAAAAAGGACACAGTATTCTTATCTTCCCTCTGTTGAAGCAGACACAACACAGATCAATGAAGAAGGCTTAAAAAAATTAAATCATAAGATAGATGAGGTGTAAACAGACAAAATGCAAGGAACAAGTAGAGAGAGAAAGAAGGAATCAACTTTACAAAGAAGCAATTAAACACTCAAATCAGTTCTTAATTACAGGGTTTAGAAAATCCTATTGTAGGCACTTTCCACTTCATTACATGATCCTATGATGGATTTGAACCAAGGCTGACAAAACTGATCCCACACAGCATAAAGAGGAAAACATCTTATTAACAACTCTATACAATAACTATTATGCTGTTGCTCCGATCATATCTTACTGTTTAGTCCTTTGATGTCTGTGCATTGGTTGCACAATTTATAGTTTCTTCTGCACACACAAATACATGGAGATTGCATATCTGAGGGCTTAGTTTGAAAAAAAGAGGACAAATCAGAACCATTACAGTTTTGAGCATCCTGTTCCTACAAGTCTCAACTGTTTGATTTTTATTAACAGTGGGTTTTGAGTCCCTTTATGGAACTAAACAGCACTCTTAAGGACCGAAAGGAATTATCTCTATGTGCTCAGGAACTACCAGGCTAACTGGCTGTGAGAAGCAATTTAATGTCACTTTTCTAAGCAAGCTTCAAATTAAAAAAAAATATCTACACTGTTTTCTTCCTTCAGAGTTTTTTTTTTTTCTTTTTATGATGACTGCAGTTTGTGTAAGAGTCTTAAAATATTACCTCTTCAATACACCATGTAAAATCAGGTCTGGGGAAAGAATCAACTGAATATATATATAAATGATCTTAATGTTTCAAATTCAGCTGTCTTTCACAACTATTTAATTTTCCCTTCTCTATAATCCAAATAGTAAACAATGTCTCCATAGAGTAATAAATGTTTAAGATTTTTAGAAAGCATATATTGTACAACACTAAAATCATCTTTGGTCCCAAAAATACGGAAATTACAAATTTACATTTGTTTTTGTTTTACAAAGTGTATCAGATAGCATTTTTAAAATTAATATTCTCTCTGAATTCTACCCAAAAGCTGTGCTAAGCTCAAGTAAGTAATATGTAAGTGATAAATAACAGCCTTCTGTTCTCAGCTCAAGGAAACACTTCACATGCAAAAGCACTCAGGGTCATTCAGATGCACCACACTACACTGTATTAGAAGTGTATCACTGCATCACTCTGCATTTGTCATTCCAGCTAAAAGGTAACCAAAGCTTTTCAAGATCTCATGATCAGAAAAAGCTGGGTGATGTTGCCAAGGATAGGTGCAAGGATTTGGAAGAGACCAAATACATAAGCTTATAGATGCATGAGACTTCCTACACCTCTGGAAAAAGCCAGAACCAGCACAGGGAGTACAGGAAGGGAACAGGGTGGCTTCTTATGTACACACCATTTCAGCCCTTGTTAACCATCAACAGGATATGCGCCTAATGAAAAGCCTTTGCTATGCATCACTTATGTTTCTTGATTTCAGATGAGGATTCCACGCTAAAAGAGTGGATCTGTTGGAGGACAACGTTCTGAAAGGTTCTCGTAAGTCACTGACACTGCCCATGAACTCTCATTGCAACCTTTGCCAATATTAGTCAGAGTGCTGATAAACAGCAGGGCTGTAACATCTGCACTGGCAATAACAAACTTTGTTATTTCATACCACACTGAACATGCAGCTGTCATTTACTTCTCTGAAACACACAGTAATCCTGGCAAGACATCTCAGTAAAATGTCTCTATTCTAAACTCAACACCAGAGGTTGGCTTTTACCATTCCATCTTTTTTTCTTTTTACACTGGTGTTCCCTTTGGCATTAACTTTCAAGAAGCACAATAAAATGTGTCTGTAGTAACTGGTGAACCGTTAGTCCTTAAGAAGATGCAAAGTTTCTTTTACCTCATTACTAATTATTTCTGAATTCTGATCTCTACCTTAGCCACTAAGGTGAAATGCACTGCAGACATTAGTAAAATGAAAACAAGAAGACATCGGTTTTGTCACCGGTTTTTCACACATCAAATTCTCTGTTGCTTGATTCAAACATTGCAGCATTAGGTTCATAGCTGTTACTCTCCATTCCCTCTGGTATTAAAAAAGCCCAGAAACTTCTACTGACCTACTGTTAAGTATAACCTGGTTTTCACATCTGTAAGTGACCTATTTGCCATGTACTGCTGTTTGCTCTTGTCTATTCAATCACTTAAGAAAACGTCTACACAAGAATACAATGCAAAAAGTGTCCAGGCCAAACATGAGATGGATTCAGGCAGACGGGACACACAGTTCTGCTAATTTTGAGAGATTTCAGCAGCTTATACCAGGAAGGAATTCAGCTCTATAGAGATCTTCTCTACCACATATATTCCTCCTGTAACACGCCTGCATGCGTATGCCAAATAATGCATTACATCGATAAAAAACACCAATCAAATAAAGCCCAGAAAAATATCAAGGGACATCTTCCTAATAAAGTCATGATTTTGTCTGACCAACTCCTGCACAACTTCAGTTCTGAGTAGACAAAATATCATTCTCTTCACTGGAAGTACAACTAACAAGAAACTTACAGTTAAGTAAAACTATTTCTGAACAAGCCAATACAACTGTATTATCCGTCAATTAACTCATTTTCCAAAGAAATATTAGCAAAAAAAAAATTGGAGAAATACCCAATTAAAAAGAAAATCAACAAAAAAAAAACACCTTTAAAAATTCTTTTTACCTACTACAGACAGTTTAAATTTTAGCAGAAGCAATCAGCCTTCCAAAAAAGGACAATATATTGCATGAATCACAATATTGAAACCTTAGAAACACACTTTGTAAGTCCATCATAATTTGTTGCTGGTTCTTGCTCACCCCAGGCTCCTCAGAAATGATGAACCTTAAAAAATAAAATTAGAAAAAAAAAGCCATAACTGAAATGCAAATTTATTGGATGACAACCTCTTCTTTCTATACTGTGCCCTTCAACCCCCTTTTCTCCACCCTACCTCCTAACCATATTTACCTCCCTATTTCAGAATGAAAAATAGAATGTATCCCAACATTTGCAGAAAACCACATACCTGCATTTGATGCATTATGGTGACCATTCAAGAACCTTGCTAACTTTGCACAAATTCATGTATGAACCGAATATGGCAATTCTAAAGTAATCCACAGAGTAACTACCTCAACACTACATCCACCAAACAAAAAAATGGGAGGTGGTTGTCCATTTCGGCTATATAACTGCACCAAGAGTGAAACTGCAGGAGACAAGAACTGAACTGCACCGCTGAGGGCTGCATGAGGATGGATACCGAGAGTTGGCTGGACATAATAACGTGGTTAAAGTTATTGCTATTTGCCCTTCACCTCCTTTTAGCATGTATTAGATTTTCTTTTGGTGGTTTTCTTTCCTATATTAACCAACCAATGCAGTGCTGGTCTTAGTGTCTACAATAGGTGAAGAAACAGTGGCAGAACATGTATATTCAGAGCTTGCACTTGGGAGAGGGAAGGAAAGTACTGTGCAGTTAATCCAAAACAATAACATACTTCAAAACTTATATATTATATAAGCTATATAATATATGCATACATATGTGGACATCTTAAACAGATCTTGCTTTTGAATGACCAACATTTACTGCCTTCATGACAACAGCTTCTAACTCAATGCACTTCTGCACATAATGCAGGGCTGGGCATTCTTTGCCACCATCTGATCTTCCTTTTCTTCCTTAAATAAAGACAAAACCCTTTGTTCCATGAGGGAGTTAAGCATGTCTTTTCCCTTTGCAGTCCCATTTGAATGTTGCTTTCATGCATCCAGACGCTGAATCTCAGGGTGATGATCCACTTCTCTGGACTCTGTCCGAGCACGTATGTAATCACTGGTCTGCCGACTACTTTGTTGCCTGCTGTTCATTCGCCACTTTTTAACAGTTAAGTATGTGTTCACAGCATACACTGCCATTGCCAAGAAACCAAATATCTACAAGAAGTAGAAAGAATTGTCAAAGACAATTTCTGAAAACAAGAACAAGAGTAGTTTTGCCACAAATTCCTCAGAAGCTTAGTTTTCTACTTTATTTGCACTGACAAAGCACCATGGTCTGTAAAAATTGACGTTTCTTCAATGAACAAAAAAATCTGCAGAAGTGACCAAGATCAGTGACCAGAAAACAAAGTTCTCAGTCTACAAACACAAAATATACAACAGCATACAACAAATATACAAAGAACACAGTCCTTCGTCCAGCAGTTCATTCCACAGGGTGAAAACAACAGTGAATGAATTACAAGAGAAGAGATGACCAGTCCAGACCATTAGTCTGCAGAAGGAGCTAATTAGCATTTTTTCCTATGTTTCTGCATTACTGTGGTGTGATTTTCAACATCCAGGTTTGAAAGGGTGGGGAGAATAGAATAAAAAAGTTTCCAACTCAAGCACAGAATTAATTTGCTTGAACTTACTGGTCTAGATTTAAAATGTTGAAGTACTACTATACTTACTCCACAGAACAAAAACGGTCTGTAGTGAGCAAGAAGAATCAGCAAATTATGTGTAAGGAGCTCCAATTTCTTGTGAATGTCTGGCTCTATCTTTTCTGTAGGTTTGCAATATAAAGCAATATCATCTAAACTGGCTACAGAGAAAAAAGGCAAGCTTAACTGCTAAAGTGATCGCTGCAAGTCAGTTTTCTGTTTGTCCTTGCGTCAAGCCTTAAGACAAACAACTCAAAGGATGTCAGTGCTTTTTAAATCCAAATTATCTTATAGCCAACTGCAAAATGAGAAATAAATTGTAATGTCAAAGGCAACAGAAGCATTCAGTGAACATGAGGAAAAGTTATTCTTAGATTTAACAGATGAGTCATATATAAAGAAGTTCAAACTCTTACCACAGCAGCAATTTCTGCTCCAGTTTTATGGTTTAAAGCAGCAAGTACTACAGAGGCAATGAAAAAGAAGAAAGTGCTGAGTCCAGTGTTGACCAGATCCTAAAAAAAATAAATTCATTAGCATTACTAAAGAATGATTCTTTGCTTGCAAATTTATTAGAAGTGATGAAACAGAAGAAGGTTAAAACAAGAACTATAGGAATACTTTCCCACTTTCTATGCAGTTTACCACTCACACAAAGAAAGGCAAAGCTCATTACACAGGAAACGTAGCATGTGTACACATCAGTCTGTGAACAGCACTCACATACCATGTACACATCCAGAATCTGCACTGGTGCTTTATGAGTTACTTCAACTTCTACAGGGTTTGTTGGAAAAGTACTGTCAACATAAACAACGAGTAAACCTGTTCCACCTCAGCGGATGCTGAAGTAACCTCAATATCGAACCTTAGCACTCAAGGAACTCTTTGTTCTCATTCATATCACAACAGTGCTCCATGTACTGCCCAGATAACTGTCAGGAATTTTTCTACCAATTCTTTGAGGCCTTCACTGTAGAAGACTGCATGTCCCACACCACTTCTATAAGTAACAGCTGCCCTCTGAGAATACACAGATTTTTATGTATTTATTGCTTAAGATTAATGTTTCAAGTAGACATTTTATATAAGAAGCACAGCAACACCCCATGGCACCTATGTTCAGGGAAAATCCTTTGCTACACACACACACAAGAATGACAAGCAACATCCAATTCAGTTACACATAAGCTGCTAATGTCAGTGTCTTTGATGATTATGTTGCTGTAGCTTACATAAAGCAGCATCATTAACATGTCATTGGAACATAAGTAAGAATTCTGAATGTCCACTGTGCAACTTAACATTTTGAGTTAAAGAAAAAAAAAACCACAACAAAAACACACTGAACATGCCAACTCCTGCCACCAAAAACAAAATCCCATCAGCCCCCTGATCAGTATTCAAGGATACATCTATTCTACTTGATTCTCTTCTTTCACATACAAGCCAGGCTCACTTCCTGTTCCTACTCCTCCACTTATTACAAGCAGAATTTGTTTTTTTGTTCTATTTTATTTTTCCCCAAAGTGCATCCTGTAAAGTGCTGTAAGAAGTTAGTCACAGAAAATTGAAGGTACAAACCTAAACTTACTCCCTGGGTATGAATCCCACAGCTGTGTTCCAGGAACATAGCACAAAGACTTTGAAAGACCATTGTCATCCAACCACCCCCAAAACATCTGTTTTCTGTGCCATGATTGGAGAATGCTTTAGAAAGTAATTACAAGAACCTGAGCTTCTGGTGCTATGTTATTTACAAGGAAAGCTATCTATTTTGAAGGTACTGACCCAGCTGGTTAGCACAATTAAGTGCGCCAGGCAATAAGATGTATGTTGTACCACTGTGGCCTAATCCTCATCTAAAAGGGGGACCTTTCCAAGAAATCTGAGAGACTTCCATTGCTTATTGCTATTTCCACAGACGTGTTCAGATTTCATGAGTCCAGTAATAACCGAACTGTCTTCCCAAATAGTAAGGGAACAAAAGCAAATTGTGGGTCTCAAACTCCTACCATCTGTATACCTGCCAGTGTATAATTAGAGAAGTTTTTTCTCTCTGTTCAAGCTTACCAAGATAGATATTATCTGGTATTCACATCATAAAAAAAAAATTAAAAAAAATATGAAATAGTTATTGTAGTTTTAACTTGTTTTGCAGAGATAAGAAATAGAGATACCAGAAAATAAATTGCATTTTACAGTTTTTCCAAGTATCCTATTCAACTTCAAGTTCAGCAGCTCTAACTGTGCCTCCGGGGTTGCCAACAAGAGCTGTGATTCTCATCTGCACAAACCTTCCTCACTAGAGGGGAAGTTTCATTATACCTTACAAGAGACACCAGGCGCAACAGGATTCAGCATTTTCATCAAGTCTCTAGCGTAAACATGCATGTCGCCACGAATGTTGAAACTAAATACTGAGGAGAGGGCAGCTACACTCCTGAATAATTAAAACAAAAATAATTAAAAATTAGTTTAGCCCAAGGTCAAGTTGTATATTTTACTGCCAGGGTACATCTGTCACCTACAGGTAAGACCTACAGAATGGAGACAAAATCCTGGAAGAAAAAGGTTGGAAGAACTCAGTAATTATGGTAGGTAAGCACTTCAAGAGGTGATGCCATGGCCAAAAAAAAGGGAAGAAAAAGTACTTATACACTCCTTCGGACATATGGACACGACAGGTGTAAGGTTGTAATCTCACCTGTGCAAGTAACATTGCAATGCTGCGTCCTGCTCCAGTATTCACATTTTTAAAAGTATGTTGAAAAATTGGACAGGGTACAGAGAAGAGCCACAGAAGTTATTTGAAAGGAGGATACAGTTTCTGACAGTATGAATCAAAGAACTTAAACTGCTTTGAATATTAATAAGGTTGAGCTGTGTACACGAAGACTTCAGTGTTTCAGCAACTAAAAAAAACACTTTGTTTTCAAAGTTTAACATAAAAAAGCACAACAAATTTAACAGTATAGCAAAATTAACTGCTGCAGAGTTAAGATGAATCATACTCAAAATGAAGTAAGTTTTAATTCTAAGGGAACTAACCATCAGAACAGAGATGTGCTTACTTTCCACTTCTTCACTTCTTGTAATTCAGATTGGTTTTTCAGACTTTCTGTACTTCCTTAGTACCACACTTAAAGACTAAGCGGTTGGCACATAATATACTATAATTTATGAGGTCAGATGTGCTTATTAATTCATTCTGTTAACTTCTGACTTTCTTAATCCATTAGCTTAATTACCTTGTCAGAGGAGAACAGTAGAAGACAGACAGCCTGACCTTCCCACAACAGACATTATCACTTATCTCCATGGTATGAATCAACTCAAAGGCTTCATGTAAGAAGTTTGAGATACTGCCGAGTATGAAATACTGCTGAAATTAGACTGCTGGTGCCTTTGTCACGATTCTTACAGGAAACCAAAGACATCAGTACATTAGAAACTTCGTCATCATTACCTGACATTCTATTTAGTTGCAATCTTTACGAAGAATATTAAATTTGTCCTTGCAAAGAAACCAACAATTCAGAACTGAAGAACTGCAATTCCATTTTCCCTGTTTAGATCAAACCTTTTTAATGCAATTAACAATTGAATCACATTCATGCAATAGGGGTCATTTCTAAACTAATATATCTTTCATATCCACAGATCAGATTGATAAATATCATAAACTCCAAACAATAACATCCTCATACAGATATATAATGGTAAGAACTGAAACAAAGTATTAGTGGAGGTTTTTAACCCAAAATTTGGTATTAAGACCAGAAAGATAAAAAAAAAAAAAAAAAATACAGTGGTTTTGGACAAAGTGAGAGCAAAACCAAAAAGGAGTGACCTACAGAAAGAATTCAAAAAATAAAAGACACTCCCTAAAAATAATGTAGCTTTTTTCCACGTAAGAGAAAATGAATAATCATGGCAATAAAAAGAATAAACAAATTGAAAAAAGATGAGCTTTTTCAAATCTGGCCATGATGTAGCTGAAGTTCTTGCTATTATATTTATAGACAAAGTAAAAACCACATCACACAGATAGAAGAATTTCTGATGAAATTACAGAAACCTCATGAGACAGTCTGCTGTGCCATAAAATACTGTACAAAGCTGCCATCCATAACAGAGAAGAAAATCTACAAGCTGTATCAAATCCACTCTAGACTGCTGCTCCTCCCTTTCTCCTTTCCAAAATGATTTAAAATGAAAGACTGACTTCTGGTCACTTGCTAGCTATTTGCACATCATTCTGTTCACTCACCAATTACTATTAGTCCACAACATAGTATCCCAGGATACTGCCATCACCAGCTATCTGTTCCACCCAGAAGGAGCATAAAGCAGAAAAAGCGTCTTGTGGATGAAGATGAGTTTATACCAAGGCAGCATTTTATACTAAAAAAAAAGGGTGAGGCTCTTTTTCTGCTGTAAAGGTGGGAAACTCTAGAAAAATGGACAGCATCCTACAGTCTGGCGTTTTAGGGGTCAGGTATGGTGCCTACATTAATGAAGATGGAAAACCTGAACTGGTGCTGTTAACTGACCTGAAAACTCCCATGAATTCACTCCTGAAAACTGCAAGGCACATCAGCTTTGAAAGCTTCTGTTTATTCCTCTAGTTTGGTACATAACCCGGAGTTAGCTTTGTTGCTCAACAAGCATCAGTAATATCCACATGCCTTTATCCATCACTCTCCATGACTTTACACATGCAGACTTTTAAGAGATATTCAACCAAAAGACATGCTCTGCCTTTTTATCCTGTATTTTGTTGTGAACAGGCTGCACAAGTGACTAGAAGGAAGACAGCATCATACTGCAACTGTAATTTGGAACTGACATTTAGCCTGGTGATTGCTTTGGTAACGTGCTTTCTGAAATCCAAGAGTTTACATTTACATGGAGTTTAAAGTAGCCAAATTTATGTAATCTAGGAAAGAAATCTACACATTTTGACAGCTTGACTTTGTAACAAAAAGTGGCAAGTAAGTGGCATGCTGCTGTCCAGGTTATTTTCCATGAAAGAGAATGCTCAAAAGTAGCATTTCTGTTCAGGTTTTTGGGTTTTGGAGGTTTGTTTTGTAGTTGTCAGGGAAGGGAGGGCAAGTGTGGCTACTGATTTTATTATTATTTTTACTTGCAAGGTTTCAGAACTGTTTCCTTGTTTCTATATGCAGCTATTTACCTGAAGTTTACAAACAGACCAGTCAGTCCTCTAAACCAAGACTGTCAAACTCCCTTAATTTTAACTATAATGGTATTATTGAACACTGTATGACTATTTGCACCACAAAAATGGAAACATGGTTTCTCAAGCAAAAGTAAGTCTGATGCAAAAAGAACCAAATTAGCTGTATGAGCACTAATTCCCATCCCTTTTTCTCATTTATTTAGGCTTATATAGGAAAGGAATCTTTGTGCAAACAGGGATATCTTAGTGCCCATTTCACAGTGCGTGACTACAGTGCCTCATCCCCACACAAGGCTGAAGGTCCCTGTGAGT